AGTTGACACAACCGCAGAGCTGAATACCATAGGTCCAAATTGGTTTGAGAACTTATTTATATGATAAAATTTTGTTATATGTAGATAGGCTGGAATGCCTACCCAGTAACCAGTACATTTTCTTGAATTTTATATCTAACTCTTGTCTTTTCTTTTTAACATGGACCTTCCAACGAAGTCTTGCATGTGTTGTAATACCTAGATATTTTGCCAAGTTAGCATAAGGGACCTGAACATTATTTATGTTAATTGGTATTCTTTGATTATTTTTGTTAGTAAAATTATTATTAACAAATTTGGTTTCGTTTAGTTTAATACGCCATATTTTGGCCCAATTATTTATTTGATTAACTGACGTTTGTAGTTTATTTGCAGCCTCTTCATGATCTCTACCTATCGCTAGGATAGTAGTATCATCTGCAAATGTAGCTATTGTGTCTTGTTCTAGTTGGAGTATGTCACAAGTGTTTAACAGATACAAAATTGGTCCCAGGACGCTTCTCTGTGGTATTTCTGATTTAAATGCTTTCAATTCAGAGTATACTTCATCTTTTTTTATTGTAAAGAATCTATCTGAAATGTATGAATCCAATAGCTCTGAGTATGACTGTGGAAGTAGCACATTTAGTTTATGTTTTAAGTCATCATGCCATACTTTATCAGAAGCCTGCACAACATCGAGGAAGATGGCTGAACATACTCCTTTGTTTTCTAATGCTTTTTCAATTGCATTTGAGATCTGGAATTAGTTTCCTTTCTTCAATGATGAGTTTCAGTCTTTTCATTAGTATTTTATGACGAAACTTCGTTCGGAGGTATTCCAGGTTTGGGGATCATAATGACTTCAGCTACTTTTCACAACCTAGGGACATACCTTAGTTTGAATAAGGCATTAAGCAGGTGTGTAAGTTTAATTATGGCTTTCTTTGGAAGTTGTTCTAAGATTTCTTCTGTAATTAAATTAAAGCTTTCTTAGAATTAATATTTGTTTTTATATCTTTGGAGAGGTTGGTCTGATAATCGAGTCATCGCTCTCTAGAGGAGCCCAGTTCGATAATTCTTCTCCATTATTTGGTTGGAAGGTATTTTGTAAGTTCTCTGCGAATCTATTAACTTTTTGTATATAATTTCTAGCCCAGCTGCCATCTGTATATCTGATCGGAGCATTCTGCACAGTGGGCCATTTTAATCGATTTGTGGCTTTCCATAGAGAATATTCAGTGAATTTATCGTTTGTCAACTCACTAAGGTACTCACAAATAGACTCATTTTTGATTCGCTTTATTATTTTTTTTTTTTAACTGCTGGGTGGCGTTATTAAGTTTGGTTTTATCTGATAGAGCTCTGGTCTGATGCCATTTCCTCCTTAGTTTTCTTTTTGCAGATATTAGGTCCCTTATTTCTTTAGAATAGTTATTTCCTATTGTTCGCTGCACAATAGGTGGCGTATTATCCGATGCTGCTTGTTGTATGTTGGAAACAAGTAGTTCGACTTCTTCATCTAGCTGTGCTTCTGTTCTTAACGGAACTGAAATATTGATTTTATTTTCAAGGTCCAGTCTGAAGCTTTGCCAGTATGTTCTTCTATTTATCAGTCGGATATAATTTTAAATTTTTGTTTTAGAGCGCGAGTACCACCTCCACTAAATAAAGCACCGCCTCGACAATTCCTCTAAACAAAATTAACAGTTCCTTTAGCAAAATACGTGCCTCAGTTCTCGTTGATACAATCAAAGATAATACAAGTACCGCATTTCCAACAAAAGATAATACTTTATCGATATGTCGATAACGTTATACGGAATTTTAATAGTCGTCTTTTTTGATTTTTCTTTAAACTCATCGCGTGCTAATAGATGTATATCTTCTAACAATAAGCAACAATTTAGAATAATTTAGGTCAAGACTCTGTTAATCGCGCTTACATTCACACACTTTAGAGCTTCTTCGTTATATTGTTTTTAATTTAAATCTCTATTCTACGTGAATTCAGCCAGTCTGAATATATAACAGTAAATAGTGACATTGTAGCGATGGCATACATTCTCTAGAGAAGAACATTGTATATATATTTTAATTATACAGTAAGAGAATGAGTTACTGCCGAGTTTAATGCATGCAAATGATATAATAATAATGGACCGGTCGGTAGACTATTTAAATTACAAAGTAAATTTACGGATGAAGGCTTTATAAAGTATGAAATTGATTAAAAATGACAATATAAAATAATTAAAAGACTTGGTGCTATGCTAAAACCAATACACATTTTTAATACTTTGATGAATGAATTTCTGTAGTTTAAAACCCAGTTATGTCGTTTAGTTCATATGAGAATGCTAAGAAGTTTAAACAAGAGTCCAACAAACTTTAAATCAAATACCGAATTATAAGTCCAGTGTACCAACAAATATTTTGATTAATTTCGAATTGGTATCAAATATCATACCATCGGACTGAGTTTTAAACTTTTCTTGGATTATTAATTTAAGTCTGCCTAGATGCTAGATATTTAAAATATATAATTTAGTTTGGATTTGTAATTAACGCCATCAATTGTTTATTCCATACAGCCAAAGAAATATTATTTTTTGCATGTTTTGTATAAACTAAGGATTTATTCTATAAATCTGAAGAAATTATGCCACAAGTGAAAATGATGTAGCAGAAGTATATGGTATGGCAAAATATACGCAGTCAAATTAATAATAAATAAAGAAATTTTCAAGAAAAAAAAAAATGTTTGTTGAAAACTATCAAAACTTTATTTATGCAAAACAGCATTCAATAAATGACCACTATTACAAGCCAAATTTTAAATTGATATCGATTTTTGTTTCTGAGATAAGATTTTGTTTAATATTTTAACCCTCCGTTTTTATTCAGATTTTTTTTCAGGGCTTAAATTTTACTAAAAATTTCATGTTAATATCGCTTTTCGTTTGTTTTTAATTTGTCAAAATTTCAACTCTTGATCAATTTTTGTTTGTTAAATAAATAGAGTTTATCCCCTTATGGAGCTTGATTTTTATTACAAATTTCATGTTGATTTCAACTTGATATCATTTTAAGTTTTTAAGTTAGGATTTTTTTAATTTCAACCCTCCTGAATGAAGTGTTACATTCAGATTTTTCAAAATTAATATCCTTCATCCCCTTGTTGAATTTGATTTTTCCTCAAAATTTCACTTTATATTATTTTTCGTTTTTAACTGTGGACAAAAAACGTGACATCAGGCGGATGTAAGGACATTTTAAAATTTTATTAGGTTTTTCATAAAAAGTTTGTTAAATTTGGAGGATCAATAATGTAAAATATGGTTTCTCGAAAGTATACCTATAATACTTTTAACAGACTTTTGTGTGAAGAGTATACAGTGCTTCTCAAAAATCCCCTCCCCCCTCTTTTCTTTTGAACCGTGAACTTAAACTGATGGAATTTGGAGGGTGAAAATGAACTATTTTAAGCTTCTCTACTAGTGCTAAAAGGTGACGTAATAGGCATCGGTGACGTCACCAGGTAACTGAAACCAATAATATTAAATTTGACCTTTCTTTATTTTTCAAAAATATCGTAAATATAAAAACAAATAGTATCATTGAATAGGTATTCTAAATACCTTTCAAATGAGGTGTCATTTGATATAAGGTTCCATTTAATATTAATGGTTTCAGTTGCCAGGTGACGTCACCGATGCATATTACGTCACCTGTTACCACTACAAGAGAAGCTTACAATAGTTCATTTTCACCCTCTAAATTTCATCATTTTAAGTATCACCGTTTAAAAGAAAATAGGGGCGGAGGGGACTTTTGAGAAGCACTGTATAGGTACAAAATATAATGGGTTACAAAAAATTAAATTAAAACACGTAAAACCATTAATTTATACCTATTATTAAAAACTTTATAGGCAACATCATAACTTAGTGTACTGCGTTTAATACGTAAACGTATAAACACAAACCCTTTAATGAAATAAAAAAATTAGCTGAGAGTGTATTTAGAATTTAAAGCGAGATTTAAAGCTTAAATTACCCATTTTACAAACTTCCAATTGTATTTTTGATTAGATCTAGCTGCCTTTATTAAATTGGAATTACCCTTTATGTAATCATCAAATTCCCAGATATTCCCGGACATTTTTATCATGCGACCGGATACCAGACAAAACTTTAAAAAATCGGACAGTCTGGATGAAAACTGTACAGGTAGCATCCCTATAAAATTCAGGAATTACAAGAATAAGTGGTAAGATTAAAGAACTTTTTCTTTACATTCTAAGTTTATGTTTATTTTTATACGATGATCCTCCTAATTGTGATATTTTAACATATATTTTACTTATGTAGCAGTGGGATGGTAAATTAAAAAGCTTGGTGATGGTGGCACTGAAGCATTTATAAAGGTCGATAAAAAAAGAGTTAATTTTAGATTCGTCATGGATTGTATTTGTTGGAAAAACCTAAGGATTATTGTGGTAATCTTTGATTTAATTTATTTTACTGTTGAAGTTTCACCAACTCACAGGATAAAAGTATACTTAATTATGAAAAACTTTTTAATATATAACTATCCATTCATTCTGCCTATATTTAAGAAGGTAGTACTTACTTTTTTTGGGTCACTGACTATACATTTTATCTCTTATAAGAGTCCATGACTCTCCAGCATATAGTAGCAATATAATATAATTTAATGATCTCTTCTTCGTTAGCTCCACAGCTCTTTTTTTTGTTAATTAAATATAATGTTCATATATTAAATAGCAATTATGATAAGGATATTCTATTAATTCTTTTTGGCATAACACAGAATGTAGAGGACAAGTCATAAATTATATAAAATACAAAATAAAAGATACATAATATGTATCTTTATACAGGGTGGGGCATAATGGAGGGGTGTTTCAAGATCGGCTAGTAAACGCGAACGGATAAGGGTAGAGAGCCGCGGTTGACAACGTTGGATTCAGGAAAGCTTACCGTTTGTTATTCACAATGGTTATCTGGAAAAGAGAGCATCGCGTATTCGCAGTTGAGGAGTATTTAAAATCGGGCGAGTCCGTTATTGGTGTGCAGGGACAACGCTTCAATATCGATCGTAACGGTTCAGTTCCTAAACGTGACACAATCAACAGGAGGGTACAGAATTTTAGAATGACGGCATCAGCAATTAATCCAAAACCTAAATGCCGTCCCCGAAGTGTAAGGACACCATTTCGAATGAGTAGTCGAACACTTCGCAGGATTTTACACCAAGACCTTCATTTTCACCCCTATAAGCTCATGGTAAGAACTGAACCGTTACGACCAATATTAAAGCGTTGTCACTGCACAATAATAATAGACTTGTCCGATTTTAAATAGTCCTCAACTGCAAACACGCGATGCTCTCTTGTCCAGATAACCATTGTAAATAATAAACGGTACGCTTTCCTGAATCCAACGAAGTCAACCGCGGCTCTCTACCCCCACCCGTTCGCGTTTACTAGCCGATCTAAAAACGCCCCTCCATTATGCCCCACCCTGTATTATAAAGTATATAATACAAGACAAAAGCAACATTTAATGGTTCACAGAATAACAGAAATTTGCAGTATAATAAAAAAACAAATTAATTAATATATGATATTCTAGACGTGTTCTTAAGACTTTTTCCATTAAAAAAATTTAAAATACCGAAAAAAAGAGGTCAAAAAACAATCATTGAAAGGAATCTTAGCCGTATTAAAAATAATAATTAATGGAATACACAGCTATTATCGTAATACTAAAAATGTACCGTTTGGTATTTGTATTGTTTTCAATATTTCGGTGGGAGCCGACACTGTTTATTTACTATGTTAATAACGGAATATTATAATTAAGTAGTATGTATTTAATATCCTACATGGTCACGAAAATCGTATCTATATGTATAATTTTCAGTAACAATGTGCTCTAGGCTGTTTTGGGATTTTGATTTACTAAACAAGACTTTTAATTAACACCTTAATAAACAATATTATTATGTTAAATTGTACGAAGTTCATTTGAGGTTAATTTTTGTAATATATTAAATTTATATATAAATTTATTTTAAATTAGTGTTTTTATTCAACTGGAGATGATGCATGTACACTAAGAAAACTAAAATATCTTACCAAATTGGTGATACATTTGTTTGTGTTAATATCATGTTGTTTGCGAAACTATAATGTATAAATTAGGAATATTTTTTTACTTATTGCCCGATTAGTTCAAATAGGAGATAATGCATATTGAACATAAAAAAATTAGAAAAAGAAACAAGAATTATCAGTTCAAAGTCGAAAGAATATTTACAGATGTTACCAACAGGAAAGGTAGAACGGAGAACAGGAACAAATAAAGGAATATTTTAAATAATAGCATACTGATCTACCCATAAATAGGGAACTACAAAACTTGGCGAGGCTTAACCACAGTAGGGGTGTGTAGATATTTTTTTTTATATGCCTTTATAAAATTTAAACAAAACAATAAAAACGAGTCAATTTATTTTATATCTAGCGAGTCGGCTCATACTACACCTTTTTTTGTAGTACAGATTTTAATCGATCTAATGGACTCCTAATATCGACCGTAAACGATCTAAATTGCTTTTATTTGCATGAATGGTCCCAGACGTGATGTTTATGTAAGCGTGTAAAGCAATAAATTGTTAAAAAGTTTACTGACATATTTGTAGACAGAAAGGATGATCTAAAGCCGCCTCTAGTACTCTTAGTATACAGGAAGATAAATATTAGTCCAAATTTAATTGAAACCCCCAATTTCAATGAAATTTTATATTACAAAAAATCTGCCTTGCTTATAGTCCGTCAGATAGTGACATGCTTAGGTGCCCCATTTTCGCATACAAGTCCCGAAGAGGGTTAAAAAGTACATCGATTTTAAGTAAAATGAAAGGAAGTTTACGAGTGGCTCCTGGAGATAACAAAGAAAATTAGATTTTCCCTAACAAAAATAAAAGGTGATTTGTAGCCCATATTTCCACGTAAGCCGTTTTCACTATATGATTCATTAATAGAACTAGGCTTCGGAAAACCAAAGGCTTAAATGTTGCATGTGGCCAAAGGGTTAAAATAAGAGCGTAATCTTCTAAGGAAAAATCAAGATTTTACCCGATTTTTTCACACAAACCTATCGAATGTATGAAAGCGTACATCGTCACTAGTCCGAAAAATATATTTTCTTGAATGACCTGAATGTATAAGTGATCGATGTACTTTTCAACGCTCTTCGAGGCATGTATGAGAAAATGGGGCAGCTAAATCGGTCACTATCTGCCGGTCTATTAGTAACCTATACATTTTTAAATAATAATGAATTGTATAGGGAATTGCAATACGCTAGCAGTTTGTACAACATAAATGGATATAACGGCCATATCGCACGAAGACGACGGTGGTGTGCTCAATCGTCTGAGTGCGAAACTGACTTGTACCCACTAAAGAAAACCTACAATTTTTTTGTGTCATCTACATTAACTGCTATGGTTATAAGCTTCGTGTTTTGTGTAGGCTTTGTTACTGTTTTTCCTAGCGCCACTTTAGGAACAAAACTGTTAATTAGAACCCAACAGTGAATAATCAAGTGGGGAATCCTACCTGTTGATTAGAATTAATAAAACATTAATTTGAAAAGAAGGTCTCTGTCGAGATTTAAAGCGCAAATCATAGAACGATAACGTATAACTCAAACTAATTTATAATTTTTTTATACCTTAACATTTATAATTATTGAATTGGGTTTAGATAGTTTATTTGTAAATATAAAAGCATATAATCAAGTGAACTGACATTATTTATTTATCTATTCTTCGCAAGAGTTTTTAATTATATTTTATCCTAATAACCAAAAAATATACTGACAATAATTAGTTTAACAGAATCCCACTTATTTAAAAAATTAAAAACTAATACTAGCCCGGTAATCAAATATGAATTGTGTTAGGTTGATTTCAAATCCGTATAGTGTCTTTACTAGAATGGATAGGAAATTATATCCGTTTAGTAGACCTCTATGGTCTGTGTATAAAACAGATAAGATTATGTAAGCTTTGACCACGCTGAATTACCCTGAAGAAGTCATAATCATACGTTGAATAACAGTTTAAAGAAGTCATATAAAAACAAGAAAAAAGGATTGGTTAAGAAATGGGAATTCGAAAAGCGACATTTATAGGAAAATAACTATAATAGTCTAGTTAACAAGTGCTTTTTGAGGCAAACTTTTTTTGTCATTCGATTCGGAATAGCGTGTAGCCGCTTGCAAAAATTGCAAAAGTTATAAACAATTTACTGAAAAATTTTAAATATTTTAAAAACTATTTGGCATTTTCCAAATTTGAAAAAATATTCAAAAAGCAGAGGAAATTTCCCCAAAAAAAAGTTCTATCACCCGGAACTGTAGGACCAATATTTATAATTTTCCCAAAGGGTTAAAAATACAACCGATAACGGATACTCTGGTTTGCGTAAGCTTCGCACACTGTGGACCTTTAATGAATAAATATTATTTAAACTTTTTAAATATGAAAATTACGAATTGAAAAAAATTCAAGCATCTACTAGATAGATAAATGAACAATAATCCGCGGCCAAAACATTTTTATAGCGATTTTTCTATTAATTACGCATTAGTTAATTATTAATTTTTTCTTCCTTGAACATTAACATTGCAAGTGCCATAATTGTTAAATAACAAATCTGATATTTTTTTCTTTTTTTGGAGCAATTTTTGAACGGTCTCATAGGAGATTCCCGTTGGAAAAATTAAAAAATTGTTATTTTTCACTTTGTTATTAAATATTTACATAGGTTAAAAATTAAAAACCTTGATTAATCATTGAAAACATTTTTTTTTTATAATACTATTAATCTGTTTTTTTATCATGAGAAGCCACATAAAAATAATAAAAAAAAAAAAATTTGTATTTCTCGATTGTTTCAAAAATTGTTTTAAACAAATGCGTTGTTTGCAAGATAATTTAATTTTTTTTTTTTGAATACCTAATCTTTGATTTAAGTCATGATTAAAAAAAAATCGTTCCTTAAACATTTTTTTTATTGCTTAAAAACGGATTTGTTAATTAACAATTTTTTTACCACTTGTAATTATAATTAAGGAACCATTTTTTTACAATATTAATTTATCTTGCTCTTTGATAAATAAAAAAAATATTTTCGAATGTCAAATTTACAATGACAAAGACAATTATGATATCTGCGGTATCCGCTGAACGGAATTCTTGACTTGACACTAGAATAGTATATTATGCAACGATCATGTAATGATGGTTATTAATACACGAGCATTAACCGGGATACGAAACGAGCCAAAGGCGAGTTTCGTATGGTTTATGCGAGTGTTTTAATAACCATTACATGAGAGTTGCATACGCTATTTTTTCTACACCCGATAAATAATCAAGACCTATAAATATTATATTTATATTGGTATTGAACACAATAACAGTAATTACTCGTATTTCTATAAAAAATTCTACAAAATTGTAATTAATGGTATTACTTCAGGTATTGGTATTTCCCTAGATTTTTGCGGTAAAATATTTTGTACTGTATTTTCTGCTTTCTCCGATATGTGTGGAGGAGTCTTCTATATCGCTAATATCAGACATTTTAATATTATAATTATCGAAGTTTAGCTACCTACGAAAATTTAATACGTTTTGACAACTAAAATAATTACATAGGAACCTAGGACAAACGTCAAACAGCATGCTTGATTGAAAAATTGTAGGTTTCTATTGATTAAAAATCTGTATCGTAATGAAAAATCTGTATCATAATGGGTATCATTATGAAACGGATTATGGGCATATAAGTGCATTATTATAATACGGGTGTAGAAAAATAATATATTTAAGTAGAACTTTACTACTTATAACATTAGCTTTCATATGAGGTGATAAATTTTTACCCGCAGGAGGGCGTTATGATCAATGCCTGGGATATTTATTTTAATACAGCTGAATTTCCCGTAAAACTACATTTCAAATGATTTCCGTATATTTAATAGTAATTTGTGCAACAAGTGTTGATATAATGGCCATATCGCACGGAGATGAAGTTTGAGCATGGCGCCGTAGGCGGCGAGCTCAATCGTCTGAGTGCGATATGGACAATCAACTCGAGTTGTATAGTATATTTTTTCTACGACATACTAACGAAAATCTACAAATTTAAAATATTATTTTAGGTTGTTAAGACAAAATAACTAATTTTAAAATAATTTATGAATTT